AGGGAGGGATGGCAGGAGGGAGGGAGGGGGAAATGAGGAGCTGATACCACGGGCTCAAGTAGAAAGCAAATGTTTTGAGAATGACGATGGCAACAAATGTACAAATGTGCTTGACACAATGGATGGATGGATTGTGATAAGAATTATACGAGCCCCCAATAAAATGACTAAATTTTTTAAAAAGGGGTTGTACGATCATCACCACAATCAATTGTAGAACATTTTCTTCTCTCTCATGCTCATTGCTGCTAGCTCCTCGTTTCCCCCCAACTTCCCCTGTCATGCCCCTGAGAAACCACTGATCGGGTTACTGTCGCCACAGATTTACCTACCCCAGATTTCATACACTCAGCAACGTACAGAACCAAAGAAACAGAAAAAGCTAACAACAATGGCAAAGCAGAGCAAAACCTCAATCCAAAACAAAGCAGAAAACATTGCAAACCATCACAACTTTAAAATGGACCAAAGGAGAGATGGAACAAGAAGGTGCTAAACTGTAACTTAACTTCATTGGCCTCCATCTGCTTTCCGATGCGTTCTGCCCGATGGGAAGGTTAGCCACAGCCCTGGTCTAAGTGCAGAGGGGCCAGGGAGGCGTCAGTATAGATCTTTCCAGTCCACTTATTTATTTAACTGATGCAACTTTGTTACATCACAACCTGACTATATCTACTGTTACAGCCTCTACAGTACTCTCTGATTAGCAAGCCTGTCTCACATCCCTCGACTGTAGTCGGAGGGGATTCAACAGAGGCTGAATCGATGGGTGGACCCTGCTCATGGAATTTACAGGAGTAGAAAGCCTCATCTCGGTGACTGGTGGTTTCAAACTGCTGACCAACACCTAGGCCACTCCACCGCCAGGCTCCTTTGCCAAGTCATAGTGACCGTAATATAGCCTGGGCCCTCATCTCTTTAAGGGAACGCTCCCTGGTGGCATGGTGGTTTGTGTCTCAGCTGCTAACCCAGAGGTCAGTGGTTTGAGCCCACCAGCGGCTCCCATGGAGAAAGATGAGACGGTCAACTCCCATAGAAGTTGACAGTCTCCAAACAGAGCTCTTGTTTCCCGCATCCGTGGCGCTGGTGCAGAAACCCCAGGAGATGCCACTGTGCCTCAGTGTTTCCGTCTGTGAACTGGGAGCAGTCTTCACAGGGCTGCTTGGAGGACGAATGCAGGAGCCCTTTGGACCCAGCAGACACAGTGACAGGTGGCCCATCCCACGCCTGCCACCACCCCTGTGTGACCCCTCTCCCCGGTAAACTGGGCACAATAGTGTGAGGTGGCTGTGAGAACCCCAAGAGACAGAGCACACCACTGAGGCAGCTCCATGCATGGCATGCGTCTACCATGTCCCATGCACGGCATCTGAGTCACACGTGAGGATAAGGGTCCTGCCAGCCATGAAATGGCTGCTGTGTGAGGAACCCCCTTCCCCGTGTGAGCCCACCATGTGCGGAACACACACACACACACACACACACACACACACACACACACACACACACACACCCCACCTCACCCCGAACCACATCCCCGTGGACTGACTGCCCCAACACCACTGCTTCTGCCTCCTAGGCCCAGCCGGCCTCTGGGTCACACTCTGATTCTGAACAAGCAAAATCCCACCTGGGATTCCAGACCCTGGTCTCAGCCTGCCTCACCTGCGCATAAGCTCACCTGTACACGTAGGGTCCGCGCTCCCACACCTGGGGCTTCTCGCCCTTCAGGACCTCGCTGGGGTTGACCACGTGGAAGAAGTAGACGGACATGTAGAAGGGGACCGGAATCTCCTTCCACATGTTGAAGGACAGGCTGCTGGGGTCAATGCGCACATTCTGTGGGGCGAGACCGGCCGGTCAGTGGGCTGCACGCGAGGTCTGCCTCTTGCCCCACCTCCCAGAGTGCCCGCCCCAGGGTGGGACCGAGGGGAGGGATGGGACGGGGAAGAGAAGCCCAGCTCATGTCACTGAGAGGCATACATTCATGCTGCTATTGTTTTAAAATGCTTGTTAATGCTGACAGATATCACTAATCAGGGGGCTGTGCCATTGAGGCGTCCCACCTCTCACCATCTCCTACCACCACCACCCCAACTAAAGGAAGCAGCTGTCAGGCAGCTGCAGCTCACAGCACCGGGAGGAATTCAGCTCCTCATTTATTCACTCATTCATTCATTCACTCACCCACTCATTGACGCATCCATTCCATCACTCATTCACTTAAACATGCATCACTCA